CCCCTCATTCACACGAATATCTATCTTGGATTATCCTCACCCCTAGGTCTCGATGTTAGCGCATGTATGACTCACGCATCCGAGGTATAAATACACACGCGCAAACACCAAACACGACACAATGACACTAACGTGGTTGATCTCTGAAGTAAACGGTCGTGCCCACGTCCTCCCCGGTCCTTTCCTTCATCGCGGGTATCAGGCAAGCGTAATCGGGCCAGGGTTAATTCCGTGGCCCCGGCATGGTTCAAGGCCACACGCTGGGGCCCACAACAAGTTCGATCTTATTGATCAGCGGCGCCTCAGCCAGCAGCCTCGAAAATTTGAAGATGCGGAATCACAAGCTCTACTGGATGAAGACTCAACGTCACTACAGTAAGATCTGCCAACTCAGTTAGGCGTCAGCCAAACAGCCTTCCCACCAAGTGGGAAAAATTCAAAATCTTGGAAGTTTGCTCCCCCCCAAGTGTGTGGGCTGAACGCAACCTATGAACAAAACGCATGACCCCATGCCTTTCACTGCTTTCCCTCCAGCATCCAAAAGACTTCCTTGGAAAATTGTGACGGTGATGAAAAGCATGTTTTTCACTAGAATCCCAAACCTAATGCAAAAGGAAGCAGATACCGGGCATCCTAGGACTCTCCTGTGGTTCCGGTAGGACATGACGGTTAAACCTTTTTGCACGTTCCTGGAAACTAGTCAGAAGATGACTGCGAAACGCTAAGACCGACTGTTAAACAAACCGAAAGAAGACGTTGATCAGAAAAGGCCATTTGCTGGACAAGGAAGCCTTCAAGTCACAGTGCTGATCCATGACTGCGCTCAACCACATCACGTTACCAGCGCGACTCATTAGACGCTCTTGAACTTGGAATCGGAAGTTCATCCACACGTGGCATATTCACCAGACCTGGCCCCATCCGACTGCCAGTGGATAAACAGTTTAAACCACTGATCAATGCTGGTGAAGTTACTGTTTCGAAACCTGGAAGCTTCTTTCGCCACGGCGCTTGTACGTTGCCCGAGAGACGGCTCAAGGCCGTAGGAAACGATGGACGACATTGCCACGATTTGGTTTGCTGTTCTCGATGTTTTAATTATAAGTAAATTTGCGGAAAGATCTAAAAAAAAACTAAGTAATATAGCAAACACTAAGCGTGTGGCGATCAACGATCGGACATTGTTAACAGGCGTTTTAGAGACCGATGTTAGGCGATTCAGTATGACATGAAGATTTGTCAAACTACCGAACTGCGCGCCGTCTGCGGTCGCCTTGTCTAATTATATCACCCAAGTGCAACTCGCTCAGAAGCAATTTGAAAAAACTCGCGATTTTTTTATAGACATCTTACGGAGGCGTGCAAGCAGCCAAAACAACGTGATAATCAGACGCAAATCCCAGACACTCCCCAGAGAAGTAGTTTAATGCAACGAAAGTCCAAATTTTCCTGCCTGGAAGAAAATGGTACTTGTGTGAAATGTTCATTGCCGTGAGAAGAAAATGTTCGCGTACCGGCTGGTGCTCACTGAGGGTACAAACAATTCATCCGAAACACTATTTATGCACCACGTGTTAGTCAAATAAAATACAGTAAGGGGATTCATCCGAAAACCAATATTTATTTGTGTTGAATCCCGTTGACGCTGTAACACGTCACCCTAGCGTGTAAGGAGCGAACGCGTCATTTTACAGCCACGTAATTTGTTTAAATCTGAGGGTGCATTAACACGAGGCCTGCAGGACAGATAGTGTTGACGTTTATTGGTGATCACCACCCCATCTTTAGTGTAAGAGAACAAAGCAGTTAAGAGACAAATTTTGGCCCACAGATATGTTCATAAATGTCGTTTATTGCTACAGCTTAAACATGCGCGTTTGACGATCGATCGCTGAACGAAAGTCACCAATTCAACAAAATCGATAGAAGTCACATTCACTCATGCCTGGTGAATTCAATTTAGTGAAAACGAGCATGATAGTTTTGTGCTGTCACGTGGTCGCTCGGCTAGAAAGTGCATGACCCCCTTGGTAATCGCGCGGGCATTATTCGAGGCCAGGGCTTTAGCCAAATCCGGATGCACTATCGTCGGCAAATCTTTTCGCGCTGCAATCTTGGATGACTTGCTGTGATGTTCTTAATTACCGACACCGCAGTCTGATTACGCGTTTTTCTCTTCGGCAATTGACCGACAAAAATTGTGTTTTGTGACGATTTGTCGACTAAACAGGATATTAATTACGTGCCTGGCTTTCTCGCGGAAACAATTTTGAAATCGTCCATGTTACTAGCAATCGAAACACCACAGATTCAAAAAAATGGATGATCACATTTTGGGGATTTAGACAATACTTAATCTAGTCAACAGACCAATGGGATTAGCAGCAGTAACAGACACATCTCTTAGGTATAATGTCATATATTTCCATTGTATGCTAATTCGGAAAAAGTGGCCCAATTTACGAGTATCGGATTGCAGACACATCGCGACTTATTCTTGTGAATGTGCAAAAAAATCTGGAAATTGTTGTGCAGCTATAAGCGCAACCATGATTGAATGTCGGCAGAGTTACTGACAGACTGACATTAAAGAACAGGTACATGCGGCTGTGGCGAGCAGCAAGCGAACGCTGGTAGCAAGTGCGAGCGAAAATGATTCAATTGGTTTACGTGAAGGCACTTCACGCAACTGTATTCGTTCAGGGGTCAATGTTTAGCCGATCCGATATAAGCTGATTTTCTACCTTGTACACACACACCACTACCACGTTTATAAGCTGAGTGACGCGCCATCTGCATTTTCCTATCTTCTTCGGTCGAGCCGTGTCAGTGTAGACCGTTGGCCCCGGCGTGGTTCAAGACAACATGCCGGGGCCATCAACAATTGGTAACACCGGCTTTGAACGTTTTTCGACCTTTCCAAATTGGTAATTGGCGATTTTCCGGTACGACCTAAGTGGTGTGTTGAGTCCGTCGCACGTCTTAACAAAAAAGTCGCCTCTCAAGCCATTATGCTCTTCTTAGAATATAAACATGTGATAGTTACCCTTGAGCAACACTCGACACCAGGCCCCGATTCCGTCTTTTCGCTCAACCTGGATTCCGCTCTACACCTACCTGTATCAGACTGGTTTCAAACAGGTTTCATCTCTGGCCCCGATCGCCTCTGGACGACTCCCAATCTCCGGACGCCGCTAACCTATGGGCGATGATGTTCGATTCCTATTGTTTCGTGGCAATCTTTCCATTTGTATCAGCATAAATCCATCTCCTTTCTCATCCTGGCCTCATCAATCGAGTCCCTCTTTTATAATTCACATTGCCGCATTGCTCGACCTTCATTGGCCTCGATATCTGACCCCCATCCAACAGACATTTTCGACGGATTCGAACGACGTCAACGGTCTTACGATTCACCATCATGCACAACCTTTCCAACGATCAACCTTTCAGATATCCAGCTGGTAGAAAAGGTTGCATCACCAACAGCGATTCATCTCAAACGACTTCTGACAGCGAACAGTGATGCTGACCGTTTCAGTCACCATTATACTGTGCCAACTCGCCTCGTTTGAACATTCAGTAGGGGCACATTTCGATTGAATTAAAGCTACCGCATGCACTTTAGAATTCCTGTTGAAAGAAAATATTCGCCAATTCTTTTTACCAAGGGGGGGAGAGTTGTGGCGAGCAGCAAACGAACACAGCGGTCGTGAGCGAAGGCTAGTAACATGCGTGAGCGAACATGATTCAATTGACTTACGTGAAGCGTTTCAAAATCGCACCGGTTGGCCTCAAAAAATCCTTTGCTTCGAGACGCAGAAAATAGGTTGCAATTTTTCAGAATTATTCCGTAATGCACTGGAATGTAGCATTCTTAAGCCGCACTAATTTGTTTAATTTAACTCGCTAAAAAACGTGTCTTAGACACATTTAGTATTTTACCGCGAGAGTCACCTGATTCCGCGCATAACTGCGGCGAATTAGGGAAAACGAGGAAGTCGCTTTAAAGTTACAGACATGGGGAAGTAAAATACAGTCTAGTATAGGGAAGTGAAGCCAGCTAATGCGTAGATTGTTCAACGAGTTGGCTTCTGCGTAGTAGTTGCGTGCGTGGAGTGGTTGAGGCACGATGCCGCAAAAAATAAGACGGAGGAACAGTCATTTATGGAGTCGTAAAATGAGGCGTTTTAGCAGGAATAAGGTAGTTAGCTTGTTTAACATCGCTTAATATCGATCTGTGAACGAACATCGCCGCGTGATTTGGGTTCAAGTTAATCGATTAAAACTGCGTTCGATCACGCTGGTTAATCGAGACTCGTCTGGCGGATTTGATTGGATAACTGGTCACATGTTGCTGCAGAGGCGCGCACACTTTAATTTTGCTTCAATAAATCTTTGAGTTAAAACATGTCTGGCGCACATTTTGTTTAAACTAACACTAGATTGCCGCGCACGCTTTCAATGCCAGTGATTTCGAAATAGGCTGTGAATTGGTCGAAACTATTTAAAAAAAACGCCGCAGGAGTTCAGTATCTCGATGTTTCTTCCCCAACTAATTCGCGCCTACGGGCCTACCCGTCTTGTTGATATGACAATGAATCTGCAGCAATCTCTGTTAGCATTTATATAAAATGGCTGTTTTTGTTGTAAAACACAACGCAACCATTCAGAGCAATGCTATTTTCTACAGCCCGAAGATTCAATCTAAATTGAAATCACTAAATGTACACAATTATAGAGATGTGCCATTTGTAGGTATTTTTGTTAAGCGTACCTAGAGACTAGAATTTTCCACATCGCAGGAGCATGTTACCCAATTTGCCCGATTTCGTTTTTGACAGGGTTTTGGCAGAACTTCACACCTCATTCAATGTCCATGCAGCACGAAGTTGTGGGTATTTAAACAAGTAAATAAGTAGCGAAAGCAAAGTGTGTATATTGTTGAACATAACTCGAGTTGGTAATGCTGTAAATACAAAAAATGCAAGTGTAGATATCTAAATACCAGTCCTATTGGAGGCGCAGTCACCGCACAAGGGCATCAGGTGAGTAGAGAGGTTTCGGAGACACCTCCGGTAGGCGCGATTTCCCCAGAATCCGTAGAGAACAGGATCAACGAATGTACAGACACGCGACCAGAGAGTCACAATCGGGAGGAGCTGACCGCCAGCGTCAGCGAAGAACCACCTGGCACAGATCCACATCGCCCGGGGCGCGTGGCACACCACGAACACGATGAGGATGCTCGCCAACACCACCACCGTCCGTTTGTGTTGTCTTTGCAGTTGCCGCACAAACACCGACTCGGCGGCGTGGTCCGGCCTCGACTGGACGCTGAACACGGGTTGGTAAAGCTCCGTGAGGCTCTTGCGTCGCCTCTGAATGGGAGGCAGTTCCGGACAGGTGAGCTTTCGTTTCGGCTTTTCCACGGCGCAGGGGTTGAGAGAGCAGTCAACTGACGAGGAGGTTCGCGTGAACACCTCAGCGGTCGGCTGTGCTGTCAGGAAGGACAGGTACGTGGGTGCGGGGACTTGCATAGCACTGCACACCACTGGCTCACTTCCACGCGGAGTGCTTGGCGAGGACTTCGTGGGCAGGTGTTCGTGCGAGGTTTCTGGAACATCCCACAACTGGTTGCAGCGTTCCTCGGGGCTCCGATTGAGCTCTTGGTCGCTGCTCCAAGTCACGGTGAAGGTCGGTATGCTGGAATGGGTGTGGTAACTGGGTCGAGCGAATTCGCCTTTCGCGATCGATGGGCTCGAGGCGGTCTCCTCGTCTATTAGAAATGTTGTTTTGCTTGAATTACTTGTTTGGCGCAGGAGGAAGCGTTTGTGCCGCTTTGCTACCTATTAAAAGAGACCCGAAAGTACTGCCTTGAGTCGCTTTGAACAGCATATTTGGCAAATTTTCTTGCGAATTCGTGCGCAACCAAGACAAAATGTGTGCGTGATTATGTAAGAATCACATTGTAGACCAAGACAAACTTATCTCATTGCCCTGTTCGCCCAACTCTCTTTCAGCCTAAATAATGGGCACTGTAGACATGTCGTTTGACCGATAAACATACTATCCACGACCACCTTGGTGCAAATACACACGTCTAGAAATGGGCGTACAGCAACACGGTAGATAATTAATGAGTACGTCTGCCAGTAACTGTGATGCTTTTGTGCAAATGGTTGCCAGTGCAGGTTCACTAGAACTGGTCAAACCATCAACCAAACATTCTGCAAATGTATTACCTCAAACGTCAGCATTTGGCAATCAACAAGTCGAGTAGTAATTTCAATATATTTTTCATTGGAGCAAACATTTCATTGGTCGTTGTGCTAAAATCTGATTGGCTGATTGTCCCAATGTCTGACGTGCTCAAATCGAGCGCCATCCGGGAAACTCAATTGCTAGATTTACCTAAGTTTGTAATTATACAACTTTGCATAGTAGATAAACTTTCGCAGATCTGAAAACACAGCCCCTGAGTCAAGTCAGAACAAGGCGATTGTCTATCTTTTGTTAGTGAAAACAAATGCGGCAACTTTTGAAAATAACATATTCGTTATCGAAGAATTCATCCACTTTGTTGGACGCTGGTTTGATCAATCAGCTAACCAACTTTGCGCATCCATTCATGCTTGCCTTGACAATCCGCCTTCGTCTGCACACCATCATGCAGACGTGTGTTAAAAATTGTGTGCTTGTGTGTGACTTCGACGCACCTACGAGTGCAGGCCACAAACACATTAGTCGCTCTAATGCATTCTCGTGGCACAGGCCTTTTTTTGCTACACAAACAGAACATTTCGCCTGAAATACGATCCTTTCCAGGCACGCGTGGTAGTCAAAAATGCCACCACACACTAGTGGTTTTGTTTTAAAAATTGCCTAACCCGCCATTTTAAAATGAGGATGCTGGAATTCTAGGCGGTGAAAAAGGTTGCCAAATTTTATCACGCATTTGCAAATAACACAATCTTTCAGAGACAATTAGGCAAATTAGCTTTTAACTGCAAGCATTCATTCCGAGCATAACGGCCTGTTTGTGTGGTGACGCAGGCATGCGACATGACTAATTCCATTGGAGCGAATACAATCGTCTCTAGTTGCCGGCGCAACTAACACCAGTAAGTAATTAGTCAAATCTCTCCCAGCCGATTGTCCAATTGCATTGCGCAAAACTCGCCACCTGATGCACGCTCTTCTCGTGGGCTTGTAGTCGGGGGGCAAAAGTAGTGCACGACATTGCACTTAAGTCGTTTTTTCCCTCTCATCCAGTAAGAGAAATCTGGTTTTTTCTCAATACCAACGCGAATGTGAATATTGGCCTGTGATGGTTGTGAGCCGTGCATTCCGTGTGCGTTTTTTTTCTGGGTGTGTGTGTGTGTGCCTGGCGCGAGCTGTTCCTCGTCTGGCTGCATTTGCGGACGCCGTGCGTTCGAAATGTCGCATCACGGACTGCACTGCGGGGTCATCCAACGCTCGAAGTCACAACGCGGCATCCAGGCCACTGTCGAATGCAGGCACTAGCGATGTGATTAATCATTCTCTCTCTCTACCGCAGTGATTGTTCAGTCCTCGCGGAACGATGGGAATTTCAAGCGTCAAGTAATGCGTTTGTGAATTGGTGTGTTGAATTTGCGACGATTAAGAGGTAAAACAATGCTTGGCAGTGAACAGCTTTCCCCAGAACATCACGAAATTCAGCATTCTTTCACTGCGGTGGGTTGGTAAGTCCATTTACTTACAACCAACGAGATTTTAATGACATATTGGACAGATTCCACACTTTGCCAAAGTGACGCATGTGTTCTAGATTCTAGTTTTAAGAGATGGTTTTAGACTTTGTCTGCATTGCTACGTGCCGACAGCCGTCGCTGATAAACCCCTCGACGCATTAATCATTCCACACCACGTCATGCAAGTTTGTGGTGTGGAATTAGTTTTAAAAAGCCCATCTATGTATATTCAAACGGGCATTGCGAACATGAATGCGGCCAGGAAATTGTCATTTGAGCGAAATAGCCCATGTGATTTGGAAGACCTTGCCTCAAATTACAGAAATCGTACCACGAAGTGTACATGGCACTACAAGTACAACAAAAAACTATTGTTTTAACAAAAATTCACAAAAATTGCCATTGAACAGGGATCACGAAGTCATTGTATTGTGTAGAAAGAAATTAAAAGTTAAGTAATGACCTCGGGTTTCAGACGAAACGCCTCTGTCCTGAAGACAATCCGATTCGAATCCGCAGCAGTTCGAGACGGTACGCGAGTATTTCTCGAAACACGCAGATATACGTGGGCTCCCTTATACGCTTCGAATATCACAGAATTCCCGTACAATGAGGCAACTGGCTTGCCAAAAACTCATGGAACATACGAAATTCTGGCAGGAACGTTCATTAAACCCTGGTGTATGGAGATTTGCCAGCCTTAACTTGCCTCTTTGCACTAGTGAACGGCGGTTCTACGCAAGCCCAACAACCAAAAAGTTCAAACTGATCACAACTGTTTAGAATCAAGGGAAACTATTGTTTCGAGTGATCCCTAAACGTTGTGTTTACTCAACAAACTGAAGCAATCATGTCATAACTTTAGGTGTCCTAAAATGGTGAAAATAACAGCATTCTTTTAACCCATTGCCGCATAACTTAACGCCTGAATTCCACTAGCCATCTCTTTTTGGACAAAACAACTGATGATCCCTGTTTGTAGCAAGTAAACATGCCTGTCATGTAGTGGCAAGCAAATTCAAGAACTCGGAGGAAACTTACTTTCCGGTAAATCAGGCAGTTCGTTGATAGTAGGAAGGAAGTTGGCATGAGGAAGAGGCCAGTGAATACGCCGACGTTGATCGAATCTGTGTAATAATGCAGTTCTGGATCTGTATCCTCAGTGTGGACATCCGTCTGCCTTCGACACACTGACAACCAGCTCCAAATACTGCCACAGAAGGCCAACAGCATTATCAGAAGTGGAAGGGAGCACAGGCAGAGGCGTGACACTTTCTGGAAACGCATTTGAAACAGGCACTTTGACGCCGGCTGAGTTGACGACGGCGCGGATTCCAAATCCACCGAGGTAACCACATTGCGTACCCGCCTGCTGCAGTAGCAAAAGCAGCAGAAGCACGCCCAACACGATGAAGTCTGCTTCTCTGTGGTTAGGTGGATAGCGTTGGACAGTGGACGTGCTGGCTCGGACATCTTTCGGTTGCTGTTGTGTCGTGAGGTGCTGTGAATAGCGAGGGCACGGTTGACTGCTATCCACAGTATGGCTCCAACCTCGATGGCTTGAAATACGTCAAACAATGCGGCAGTAGCTATGGTGCCGACAGTGTCCACGGTGGTCCAGTATATTGAATACAAAGATGATATCATGAGAAGAAATGCAGTTAGGAGATTCGAAGAGGCAAGAATCAACAGACCCTGGAGGTAAACTCGATGTCGGCGGCTCTGTGATCGCCAGATCATCTTGCTGCTCGACTTTGAACATCTGTCTCGTTGACACGAGGCAGACTCCTGTTCTAACCGATTAATAGAGAGAAGCGACGACAGACGGAGCAGTGAGACATTGTTATTTGGTACAAGCATTGAAGACTTCTTTGGATTAGTAAAACCCGCTGCCGTCTCAGAGACCCGCCTTTGCGCAGACGAGTCCAGACTGTTGTTGCGTTGGTACCGGTGGTCGGAGTAGGTTTCATCGGTGCTGTAGCCGCCCAAGGACAATTTTTTTTGGCTCGACACTTTGCCGAGAAGTCGAGAGAAGATTAGTATTCCAGCATTGGTGGCTACACCTAGACAGCCGATGAGAATCGCGAAGCTCGTCTCGCTCAACGGCATAACTGTGTTCTGGACAGATCTGTCAGCATCATGGTCCCCTTGCAGAAGCCAAGAGACCCTATTGGCTGGCCTTCTGGCCAATTAGAGTCCGGTGAATTTTGATTGGACGAACGAATCCTATTAGTGAAGGTAAACAAAGTTGAAGGCATGGGAAAGTTTGAAGCACGCCGAGAAAAGTGCGTAAAAACACCTGTTTGGAGGTCACTAATTCCGCTTCGCCGGACTCATTTCGTGTGTACAATAAGTATTAACGTTATTTTGACCGAATAAGTCCTAGAAATACGTAGGCATGATATCTTCATGAATTTGCATCACTGAGACAAATTTTTAGATGGCGCTTTTTAAAGAAATTGCAGGTGCACTTTAACAAACAATGCTTGCAATGCCTTTTAGTAATCAAAAGGGTTGCTACCGGTTGTAGCAAACTCATGCACCGTTATAGGAGACTCACAAAAGTTCTTTTGTAGCGTCCTTTCATTCCTATCATGTAGGGAAACGGGAAATAGGGGTACGATGAAATGATTTAAATTTCATTTCGTAAACGGACGTGCCGAAAGCAAGCTTATCATGGGTAAGGTATGATGTCAAACCGACCCTCTACAGATGGTTTTCATTTTTGGATGATTATTTAGTGGAAAACAACTACGCCAGTTGGTGTGTGATGCATTTTACTTGGGTGATACGTGTCAAACCAATAACACACATAACTTCAGCAACATTTTGTCGCTGTTAATTAACTTGCCTCTCATCGCTATGGCAGGATCTAGTTCGTTTTACCAGTTAGCGACAAAGAGTAGTTTAAGATCTTGTAAGTTGAGTCTACGAGAGTGTACAACCGTGTAGCTTGATGGATCACCCAATGTTAAGGATTACGGGAAAAGTTTGCCAATGGAGCTGCTTCAAGAGGGCCTTTTTTCCGTGCCCAAAATGCAAATTAACTGTGTCTGGCTGAGAGTGCGGCAAATTACGCCATGTAACATAATCCTTGTTTATCTGGCCGGTTCTGAAGCTGAACAATCGAGCAACGACCAACCCAATCCTAAATTTGGCTACATGGCTTGCCAATTCAATGGTTGCTTATTGCCGTTAGGGGAAAGTACAGCGGCATCGTGCGTCGGAAGTGGATCGTGTTGACTCACGACCACCCACCCGGTCGCCGCATTCTTCAACAGACCGGCCCCCTTTTGACAAGAGGCCCGTCCGTCACGTGAGACGCTCTACTCACCAATACTAACCCCACTACCCCTTTCACTCATCTGGCCAGCCATTTGTAATTTTATAAGTTCACCCAAACCGTGTGGGTCAACAACACCCTCATTCAGGCGCCAACTTGGAATAAACGAACGTGACAGCGACTCAACTTTGTTGAGCTACCTAGCGAGCGGTTGAGTCTCCGCCATCAGTATGGAATTGACGGGCCAAATTCAACGCAGCGGTCTCAGCGCGGTTCGAGACAATATGCCGGGACCCGCAAGGCATCCGTGACTGTTTCTGCATAACTTTCATTTGAAATGAGCGTTCTGTCCCAAGTAGCTGAATGTGTGATCGCACTTTGAAGACTCTGGCACTCTACTCACTGGATTTTCCAATTAGTGGATTGTCTTAGTCGCATACAGAATAAGCACTGGGTTGAAACTACGAATTGCGTGTGTTCTTACAGCAGATGCGTTTTAATGCAACCAAAAAATGACTGTTTTTGTATAATTGGACACCGAAAATCTCTATTCCGTTGCAAATGTGCTTTATTAAAACCAAATAATTACACGTCTGGGCTCTCGGTTATAGCAAATTCCATCGTCAATCAATCGGTATTCCCGAAGCAATTGAATATGCGTCACGCCCAAGAAGGGTTTCTTGCCATTTGCTTTTAATGCCAAATTAAAAGCATTTCCATTCAGTCGGAACGCCCAGCACTTTGATCTGTGCAATTTCTGTCGCTGAAGGTGGGCATCAATTCGACAGCATGTGACGTGAATCAAATCGGTGTGGCTTTGGAGTTTGGCGATGTCATGGAGAGCAGAAATGACTACGCGAAACCACACACGCACACACGCACAAGCAAAGCGATCCTTAGACTCTGAAAGGAATGCAATAAATCATGCAGCTCTTCAAAAGGTAACGTCCTCATTTTGGACAAGATCAGCGGACAGTGGACTATTGCTCCCATGCCTTCGCCATCTTCTGACAATGAAATCCATTCAGAGACGAACGGTGCGGTTTAGGGGAACGGTGTCCGACTTCAAAGTGCTCATTACTTCCTAAAGTCATACAACTCGGCACCTTCTAGACACAGATGGTTTTCGTAGAGAAAACATCCGCAATTCATGCCGCAGCAGGTGTTCCATGAAATTTGGCCAAAAAGGTGAATGCATGTATCTTGCGTAAGGCGGAGAACATGGTGAGTTCGCACCGCACAAAATGCGCAAATTTCGCCTGACATTCACCCACAACCCAGCAGGGTTGCGTGTATTTGCATCAAATAGACCTCGAATTCCAGGGGCACATTCCATGCAGGGTGGTGGCAGTGCCAACATCTGCATTCCTGCACGGATGGCTGCGGTTTTAGCCAAGCAGGTGCAAGAGGCGCGATATCAGCAAGCATAGCGTCCTTAATTGTCTAAAGTGTGTGATTAAATTTGTTAAATTGATTTTAATGAATTTTAGCCTGAATTTCCAGCCAAAGGCACACCAGTGATCCCCTTCCTACACTTCCAGACGTTGATACTAGCCCCGTCGTCAAGTTGAAGTGCATCCCCACCCCACGGTCAGGTCTGTCTCCTAGGGTCACAACTGATGTGGTGGACATCCCAGCGCAAGAATAATGCTCAACACCCAATCCTGTGCAAATGTGATTAGCAGATAAGCATAACAACTTCCGCCTAGCCAGCTGTCTCGGAAAGCTGGTTACCTAGTCGTCGCCAGTGGGCACTCGACGTTGTCAGACAGCGCAAATGCGCATCGACGCTCACAAGGTCACCTCAACCACACACTGCTGGCCCTCCGAACAGGGGCTGGGGTGTGTAGGTTCGATGCGAGTTTGTACGACGCGGCACACCAGCGACCTTGAGAAATCGGTGTGCGGTGACAGGAAGGTGACAATTCAACTCCTCCATCCGCATGCATAAACAAAGTCGTCTGGTCCAGTACGTGATATCTCTGTCGTGAGTCAGAGAATAACGTGAATTGAGCGTGGTTAGCTTCCACATAATCTCACGTCATAAACGAAGCCGCGCGTTGTTAAAAATCGCGCTGTATTTGTGAAATATAGCAGCTGAGTCACGAATTTGAATCTGGTGGTGGTACCTTAAATTAATATTTCTTATCACCCTCAAAACATCTGCATCCTCCAGCAAATTCATTTGCTCAATGCGTTTGAATTTTTCGCTGGTAAGCGACATTCAAATTGCTAGCTTCTGGTGACTTTTTCATCGGATGCAGCGCTGACAAGCAGCGGGCGTCCGATTCCTAATTTCCCTCAATCACAAATTCATCACGACCACTACGAAACGACTGCGATTTTTCCCACACAACAAATGCGAATTTATGCGATGTAATTCGTTCACATTCACACACACACACACCAATGACCTTGGCGGAAGATTTATTATGAGCGATGTGTGATATCTTTACATCACCCTCTAACAGGTGATGTAAAAATCATCGGTTTGCCAATTCTGTGTGCTGGTGACGTACAAGGTACAAATAACGCGGATTCAGATTGAGCGAGTTAAAACAAAAATCGATTTGGCCTTAAAGCCTGCTTTAAGGAAAAGGCCGTTTAATTTGAATGAACGGATGCTACTTGATCGAAATAACCCCAAAGGATTTTAAAATGAGCATTAGCTCGGTCTTGGTCTAAGTTTTTATTGCAGCTCGCATTTTGTGGACGTCTGGCCGATTTATAAAATTTCAATTCTCAGTTATGAGCAATTAATAAATTGTGACGGGGTATTGCGCGAGTGACAGTAGACGTCCAGCGAATTACTGCGCAGTTACGCATAATTTAAAGTCTATAGTATCAAATGCATTGCTGCTTCGATAAGTCTGTGCAAATCGCTGTTGTTGTGCCACAAATGCGAAATGTGCCGTTCCAAGAGCCATCCAACTAAGTTAGGAAATAAAATGATGATGTAAATTGCACTCAAGAATTTGAAATGAAAAACATGGAATTTGCAAAGAAAGATGCAATGAATAAGGAGCTATTAATTTTTCACAATATTTCAATGCGGCCACCAAGGTTGATTGAAAAAAATTATTCTGACGGCAAAATTTATCGACGTGGGTAAAATTTATAGTTTAGTTAAATTTTAAGCCACAGAATATGCGTACTTGCGTGTCCTTCAAGAGCAAATTTATTGACACAAATCGCACAGTTTTTTTGATTCAAAAACATTTCACGCCATAAATTGTGTGTGGATGACAAGTTTATTGTGTGATGAACTGGGAAAGAGGCTTCTTGCGTCATGTTAAACTCATATAAACTTGATCGTGGAGATCAGGAGAGGACTCAATTTAAACAAAAATCAGTTTTTTTGGTTGATTTTCTTTACATCGGCAACACCAACTGCCTTCGATTGTGATACATTTCATTTGCCGTCAGGTTAATATTTTGAGGCAAATTTTAGCATCGAACCTTAATCCACGTGACTCAGGTACTAATTGTTGTTTTACAATAAATGAACTTAATTTTTTTTTAGAAAAATATGCCTAAAATTAGACAATTGTCTGTATTTGTTTTTAATTTTAAAATCATTTGTGAATTTGTTGAGCAAATTTGAATTTCAACCAACTAAAATTTCGTGGGGATTGTGAAATTAAGGGCGAATAATTGATCAATCATTGTTGCTGCGATCCGTCAGAGAAAAAAGAGTATCTAGCATATCCAAACCAGAATCGAAGCGTGATGATTTGATTTTAAGTTTAAATTCCGAATTAATATTTACCAAATTTAAGAAAAAAACAGTAAACAGGATTTTTAATTTTAACAAATACCTGTGTCA